TGCTGGTGTTTGCTGTGGGTCAGGCAGGGAGGTCGACACACCCACGTCTGGGCTTCAGCTGTGCTCTCCCTGCTGCCAGCGCCCGTGTCAGGTCAGCAGGGGAGAACGTGGGCAGTTTGCAGTGCAAACACAAGTGCAGTCAGAGCACACAGGTTTCCATTCCCACAGCCCTGCACAATGTCAGCACACAGACAGAGCAGCTCCTTCTGACTGAGGGGAGGAACAATGGGAAAAGACAGCCGGATGTGTTGCCTACAGGAGCTGGTCTGTCACACCGTCCCCACCGCCCCAACCACCGTCCCTGCTCAGCAAGATGGGGCTGTAGGCAGAGAGTGGATCTGCTGGGGAGCAGAACTGCTTTTTAACTAAGAGGGCAAGAGGGGAACCCCTTCTCCTGACACCACTGTCAGTAAATCATGTGCAGGTCTGAGCAAAAAGCCCTGCAGCTGAACTGGCTCGTTTCTGACTCTCCCAAGGCAGGAGATAAGCTCAAACCATACAGTTTGCTCTGCCCTTTGGGTCCGTGCTGGCCCCATCCAAACATCCTCATGTCCAAGCTGAACTGGGAGTGAAATAAACCATGAGCACAGAGCCTCTGGCTCAGAACTCTGAACAGGGAAAGGGGCTGGTGCCCAACTGTCAGCCAGAGTCGACTGTCCAGGAGTGCTGCAGTTTCAGACGCTCCAGATAAACCTGTGTTAGAAGTACTGGTGTTCCCGCTGGAGCACGGCCGCTTGCTTGACACCTGAACACGTTCCCATTCCAGCACTGGTACCAAAGCTGTGAACAAATGCACTTGCTTCCCACGGTCCCCACACAGTGCTAAGAACAAGGGTAATTCCAGTGCAGTGTCAAGCCAGGACTGTGCTTACACCCTCCTGCAGGAGGCACCTCAGTGCACCCCTGGGAGTTATGTTCCTAATTTTAACTCTTTATGCATTGCTGACTCAGTACATTTCACCACGGACTAGTGTTTTCCATATGTGGTGGGTGTTAACAGGTGACCTTCTTGGGTGGAAGGAATGAAGTTGATCACAAACTCTCCAGAGGGTTTGAGCTAAGGAAAAAGCAGGATGGGGGGGGAGGCAGCAGATCTTTGCTGTTTATATCAAACTCCAGGCACACTTAAGTAATGCAGCCAAATACCTGAAACCTGATGCGTGGCCTCGGCTGGGCTGCGCTCACTTCTCAGCAGAAAATGAAACAAAACTCTGGAAACAAAAACAAAAAGGCAACAGAGGAACAGGGTTTGCTACTCCCATAAAGTGGGGTGTGCTGAACCTCAGGTCCCAACACGATTGTCCTGGTCACTGTGGGGTCACAACAGGGGCACAGGTGTGTGACCTGACTGAACCCCGTGAGCTCACACCTCCTGGGGAGCTGCCAGAGACTCTTGCCAGGGGACTGTGGCCACACTGCCACCCCTCCAGTTCCTCCTGGCCTCCTCTGCTGCACCAGCCCATCCCAAGGGTGCTGCTCTCCGAACCAGCCTCACCTCGATCCGCAGAAACCACAGGAGACTTGTGTTTCTTGGCTGTACAGCTGCCAAGCAACTGGGCACATCCAGTGACAGGAGCAGTGTCCCAAACCCGGCAGTTCTGAGGAACTGCTCCATTTTCCCAGCTATGGAGAGATGGGATCAAAGTGCACCTCCACGGAATTTTCTGCAGGGAAATTGTGAGCCCTTTGGAGAAAGAGTTTTCCTGGGAATTAAATGGATAAGAAAGGCTGGAGATTGGGAAGCTGGTTAGGAGGAGGCTTTAGACTGAGGGGCAGAAATAAACATCTGGAGAGAGCTGGGCAGCCCTGACAGAGGCAGGAATGGAGTTCTCCCAAGCGACTGATGGAATCACCAGGTCAGACAAGGATGCTGAAGCAGCTTGGTGAGCAGGGAAGAGCAGCATAGGATAACACAGCCGGTACAGGCAGGGAGGGTCTGTGGATCTCTGGCAATTTATAGGCCTTGCGTCCTACTTTTTGTTTAAATAATACAAACTAGTGGTGAGGAGGGACAAAAAGAGAAATAAACATTCTGGCTAAGAACAAACTCAGAATAGTCTCAGTTGGAAGGGACTCACAAGGATCTACGAAAAGTAGAGAACCAAAGCAGGTCCATCAAATGACAACTGTAATGAAGGGGAATAAACACCCGACAGAGAGGATGTGACATTCATTGATTCAACGGAAAAACATCAGGAAGAAATACTGTAATTCATGTGAGTTTTAAAACTTTATTTCAAATATCCATGTTTTCCTTTTATATTATCAATGTGCTAGACGTTCACACTACTGGCAGAATACAGGCAATTTAAAATATACAATATTCAGACACATTTATATGTAACAGAAATTATGGAATGTATTTACAGACATACAGCACAGGATGAAGCTTTAAAATCCTTTACTCTATTAATTACACGTTTACACTGTTTTCAGAAATAACAAAATTAGATCACTTTGTAAAACATCACAGTATCTATACAAAAGCATTTTTTAGATGTCCAAATTCACCTTTCAAGTCCTCTGTTTCTGAAACAGTTTTTCAAAGAACCATTTATAGTCACAAAAGGGTAAAAATACCGTTTGCCATCCTGCTGCTACCAGAGGTGCTACAACAGAGGTGCTCTGGTGCTGTAAAGAGTTGTCTGTGATGGATTTTAAGCGGGACACCGGCGGTGGGGCCTCTCAAAAGCCTCCCCTTCAAAGGGGGAAGACCCAAACTCTGTCCTGCCCCGAGCCCCAGTGGCCGGGATGTTCCATCTGGAGTGAGTAACCTCCTGAGCTTCAGATGCTGCCCAGGGCTCCCCAGGTTTGAGGATGGATGGTGACACCACACAGTCAGTGCAGGAACACGGAACACACATCCTCCAACACAAAAGCCCCAGAGAGGAAAGACAATCACCTCTTTGCTTTAACAAAGAACTTTATACATGTTTTCTTTCAAATATTCTTTTCATGGGATACAACAAAAATTGCACATAAATACATTGGAAAATCCCAACCCATTTTGCAAGAGAGAACTGAAGTCAGTTTGGTGTAACACATTAAATAAACCGTATGATGAAACTTCAGGTTTGGATTTTTGTCCTAAACATCTGGACCAGATTTAGTGCTTGCCAGCATGAAAACACAGGATTACAAACATCAAACTAACACGATCCCCTACACTGAAACTGCCAGAGTGAACATTGCTTAGAACCAAGTACCCAGTGCTGGGGACCCCCCACCTGCCCAGACACAGCCCTTCCTCGGGCTCACACAGAGCCACGGCTGAGAGCCACAGGCAAGGCAAACAGCCCTTTCTTGCTGGCCAGACTCGAGCCCCCATCACATTAATTACTAAAAACTAGTATTAATGAAATGTCAAACTTCCACCAATCTGAATAGTATTAAGTTTCATTCTTTTAAGTGCTGGAAGCTGGACTGAAGCAATCACCACACCCTTGCAATTCCATGAAGGGACTGGTTTTCTTCAAACAGGGATATTTAAATAGCCCACGAGGGGTGTGCTGCTAAATGCAACATGTCCCTGTAACAATACAGGTGACCTAATGTTGGAAACCAAGATGAAGTCAGTGCCCCCCTCTCTCAAATGATGTGCAGAGACAAACACACCAGGAACACCTGTGTCTGTGCCTGTGCTGTTGCCAGCAAGTGGCAGAACCTTCCCCTCAGCAAACTGCAGCAGAGCCTTCAGACACCTCTATGTAACCCTTTGAGAATGAGAACGCTCCTCACAAACAAAATTAAGTGAAACACACGAGCTACTTCAGGGGGAAAGAATGCCTGTCTGGAGCTGCTCTTCCTGTGCATACTGTGAGTTACTGGCACTTTCATTCCTTGCAGGGCTCAGGAAGAGCATGAGGAGGTTTCTCTTTGCAGCCGGGCAGTTTTAAACACCCTCCAGGTGTTTTCTCCACTTGCAACATGATAAATCAATGCCAATAAGAAGCAACCAAAATAATGATGTGAAATAAGGGATTCAACAGTCACCACAATGGACCTTGAAAGAAATACATGGAGCAAAACAAAGTGGACACAAAACTGCAAATCAAAAGGGAAAAAACGCAGCTAAGACGAGTCCTTGGCAGCTCCCACCACAGGTTTACTCCTGCAAAAATGACTTTTAGCTAACCTGTTCCCATTTCTTCTTTCTTTATCTGCATAAAATCCTCTTGGTGTATTCTGCTTCAAATGCATCCCCAAATGGAATACCACTGATGCCTGCAGTTGCTTTCAGACTCCAAGCACCACGTATTAGTAGCATAACATTCTGGGATGCCTGAAATTGGGCAAAACCTGACAGAGGAACTGCATGGGTGGAGAGCTGGATTTTGTGAGGTCTTTTTTTAGGGAAAAAAAAATTACTGTAATTGATCTGATAGTGAGTTTGGCCTTGTCACTAGGACCAGAGCACACAGAGCTGTCCTTGTTTTGCACATCAGTTTTCCAAGAAAATGCAAAACTTGTCGGCTGCCTCTCTCCTTCCTGTACACTGAATTTCCATTTTTATGTTAAGGAAAGAGGAAGTAAAACCACCACATCTCTCTACATAAACTCCAGTGATAAAGGGCTTTATTGAAAGCCTTGTCAAACCCCCAAAGAGAAGCTGTGTTTGCACAGGCCCTGCTCTGACAACATGCAGCCCACCTCGGGATCTCTTACCCTAATACATTCTGTGCCTGCAGGGGATGCTTCAGCCCCTCATGAGTTGGTTGATAAAGGGCTCCTAAAGATCAGCAAGGCAGGCTGGGATTGTTCACACTGCAGAGAAATACACAGGTGATTCCCTGAGCCAGCGGAGATCTCCACCCACTGATGTCGGAAAAGTGTCCCGATAAAGACATGTTAAATCCCCAACAGAAAGTGAACCCAGCGAGAATTCTGATGGGATTAAACACTGTTTGAACAGATCTGATTTAGTATCTTTTACTAATGTGTTTTTGGTGGAGAAAATAGGCAGTAATTTTTCCCTTGGGAAAAAACTTATTTTCTTTTTCTTCAACTTTTAGTAATGAGGACATGCCAACATGAGTTACAGCTCTGTGAGGTTTGACCCTGTTACCCAACACTGCAGGTTAAGATTGTGTGATGCAATTTTTTAAATATTATAATAGAAATAGCGGTTGTTCCTTGGAGGCAAAGAAACTCCATTTCTTTGCACTCTGTGGGTAAGGAAAGAAATTTAATTCCCCATATGCCCACTGCAGCAACATCCTTTTTTTTACAAACTCCCCTAGGAACTGCTTTCCTAACTCTACATCCATATCTTCCACCTGCAAGGTCAGTTTCTACAGCTGGCTCCAACAGCCAGGCACTGGAATTCCTTGCCCTCCTCCCAACCCTCATTTTTTAAAAATAAGGGGCAAAAAAATTGGTAGTAAAAAATGTTACTGGAAACTGTTGTGATCTCCAAAAAAAATGGAGAAATGAAGTAAAACATTCCTGTCAGGAATCACGGAAACTCATTTCCTTAGAACAGAGCTCTGTGTGTTTGGATGCACTGCATGGGCAGTAAAGTCTTCAGGTCCTTCTGCTTAGCCAAGGTAACCCAAAAGGTCCCGGAGGTCTTTACACAGCAGACAAGTGGTGAAGTGGCTGCTGCTTTGGGGGTGCCAGCTCCAGGAGCGCCTGGACAGTCACAGCTACCTGTGTCAAACCCTTCTCTTCTAAAATATGCAGAGGCAAACATAATTGCTCCTGAATGGGGAACAAAACAAAGACAAAAACAAAATGGATGAAAACCACTCAACTGAAAAGAAAAAAAAATTAAGCAAAAGGTGACTGAAATATGAAACGTTATGGACAGGCAGCACACACACACAGGGGTAGGACATGAAATTTCTGCTTGTGACTAAAGAACCATGACCTTGACTACTCAGAGAAGGTGGCCTTCAGCTAATCCCTGTGTTCATTTATTAAAAAACTCTACAAATAAGAATTTGAAAAGGGATTGTGGGAGAAGAGGGAAATAACAAATTGTCCTCCATCTCTGCCCACACTGACATGGCAGTGGTTTATGAAACCAAAAGCAGATGAACTTGAGGAGGCGGAAGCTTTGCTTCAACACGATGAACCTGCTGCAACACAGAACAGGAGAGGAACCACAGCAGCACAGCTTCCTTTCCAAATCACACCTCTTTTTGAGGGAGTCCTCACGGGACAAGCCTTGTCAGCTACAGCCTGAGGGGAGCCCTGCTGTGAGCAGGGAATGAGTCACCACCACTCACTCATGTCCCAGAAGTGCCCCCGGCTTAGCGGGCGACCCCCAAAATCCTTCTGAGAAATAACAGGAATACGCAAAATGCAAAAAGAGGTTTCAAAGTGTTTATTAACAGTTCTGCTATTCTCAGTCTAAGATGTACTTAAAGCCTCATCCTACAGAAGTCCTTGGCACTCCTGGCCATCCTCACTCCACAACAGTCAGAATACATGTCCAACAGTTCTCTGTATCTGTAGAAAACAACCCAAGTGTGTCCTTCCTATAGAGCTACAGAGACTATTTTTCATGTGTTATTTTCGCACCAACTGGCATTTCTCCACTCCTTGAGTCTTTACTGATTTCTGATGTTAAAGAAATCCTTCAGCACAAACAGTGGCAGCCAACACTCCTCCCGCAAAGCTCCGAGTGGAGAGAAAACAAGTGAACCCAGACTGAAATTCTCACAGGAAGCCACATATGATCAGGCTAAAATACATTTTTCTTCCAGCAAAATTATGTTACTTTGAAAAAAGTGTGCTTTTTAAGAAAATACTTGTAAACTTGAGGAAATATGCCTTATCTTTTTTCCTTATGTATGCAAACAGATAAGGGAAAAAGCTTTGGAATGACTCCATACCACAGACAGTAATGACAAACAAAATTTAAAAACTGGAAGGCACTGTTAGTGTAAAACCCCTTGCAGCTTTTATCACAGTGTTCACTAGAAGTTAAGAAACATAGGAACCGAGTTCATTCTAGTTCATACCAGTAAGCAGTGCAAAAATAGCTTACTCAAAAATAAAACAATCTCCCCCTGTCAAAGTTCCCCTCTTTCCTCAGCGATGTTTGGCTTGGACAGAACACTTTGTGTGGCTTGGACAGAGAGCAGCAGCTTTTTGACTTGCTCCTTTGTTAAATACTAACTTTGTGGTACAAGAGCTTGTGAGATCCACGTACACATAACACATTTTACTGGTAGTGAACACATTTGCAACTGAACTCTCGTGTATCTTAAACTGTGCTTCAGAGTTGTTCCAGGTTATCGCTGGAAGGCCAACACCACTTGCATTGGGCTTACAAGCCATTTACTGCACTTGCAGATATAACAGAAATTTATTGAAGACATATTTGGAACAGCCATTTACTGAACACTTACCTGACACTGGTCTCTGAGCAGAGCTCCCTGAATCAATCTACACTCTGAGGAGACACGGTCTGTTACACACACACCGGGAGTGCCCTGAAGCTCTGAGGTGTCCCTGAGACATTAAAGCATTAAAGCACCAGGATGCTTTCCCTGGGGAGGGAAAAGCTGTGAAGCTCTATGGAAGACTTCCTGAGTTTTGTAAAACAGTGAAGAGTGCTTGTGCAGCCGGGGCTTATATTTCTGCAATTGCATGATATAAAGGTTTCTGAAAATGACAGGGTAAGAGGAAGAAGGGAATAAGCATGGAACAAGCTTATGTTGGGGCGCCCACGATCCAGCAGCAACTCAACAAGTTTTTGGTGAGTTTTATCCAGAGCACAGTAAATTGCTATGACATTCTGTAGCATCTGATAGAATCTTTAAAGACTTCTTTCTGTGCCAGAAAACTTAAAGCTGTTGAAGGGCTTAATTTCTCTGAAAATTTCCTGCTTGAACTGTTGTGAAGTTCAAGCAGCTCAGGATTCACTGACAGTTATTTTAAAAATCCTGAGTCAAAGCAATAAAACAGAGTCTATAAATTTGAGACATCAAATGCTCTCAGAAGCAGGATAAGGGACTGGGGTTAAGAAAAAAATAAAGCTACAAAGATCTGTGGACAAAACTTACCAGACCGTGTCTCCTAAGACTGTGAGATCTCATCAAGAACACTGACACTGAAAAAAATACTTCACATTGTTTAACATTTTTCATCAGAAAATCCTTGGGAAATTTACCAGAGTGGGTGCAATTCCCATTATACAGATGGGGAAACAGAGGCACAACCTGACAATGCAGTTTCCTAATATGCACCATGGGTCAGCAGACTACAAAATGCAGCCACATGTCCTCAGCTCAGTCTCAGGTCTACCCCAGGGACTGCACCTCCTCCCTTGTAAAGCACTTTTTCTGCTCAATGTGACACAGCAAATACAAATGTGAATGAGGTCACAGATGGTTGTGTGGGTGCACCAATGTGTTTACACACTGTACTTGTCACCTCTGTCCCATCCGTGGGAAACAAAGCACTTCATACACACAGTCTTGACAAAACCCAAAATCTGTTCCCAAGCACCGGAGTGATGGAGGGAGGAAGCAGCACCACTATCCCTCAGCTAGAGAAAACAGACCCAGCGATAGAACATACAGAGCGTTAGCATTAGAGTACAGTAAAACACCACAAAGCCCCAGAGCTGAACGGAAAGGGAGACAAGACTGGATTCTTCTGAATCTGTCCCCAGGGAAAGAAGAGTCTCAACTGTTCTTTTAACGCTGAGGTTTAGCTGAAGAATGTCAGAAGGGGAACAAAGATTGTCCTGTCCAGAGTGTGTGAGCAGGAAGGGAAAACAGACAGAAAAAAAAGGTCAGTCAGTGAGCCATAGCAACATCCACGAAGCAGTCAGTTATCAGACATCTCAGATACAACCTACATGTTTGAGAAGCACATCACAGCTGGTTAATTCTCACACACAAATCTGCAAGACTCCCATTGCAAAGAACTCCATGTCAGTGAGGTGCCTGTCACTTGCACAGCTCAAACTATTCCTCGTTGTTAAAAACAGCAGTTTACACACGCTTTAGTGAAAATCATTTTTCTCCAGAAATGAAGAGGTTACAGGTTTCTGAGATGCTGCTGGCACTGAGTACTCACCAAAGCTCAGCCTCCACATGTAACTTAGTTAATGAAAACGGCAGGACAAGGAATTATTTATGTGTAATTGATGCCTGAATGCAGCATCCTGCAGAAATATCTATTACTAATTAGAGTTTAAGAGTTCTGTAACTATTCCCACTGTGTGTTTTTCCCCTCCCTTTCCCACAGTAGCTGCTGTAATCAGTGAAATCTAGATGCATGTATCAATCTGTTCAGCTGCCAATTTCCTTTGATCCAAGGGCTTTAACCACAAAAGGTCCTACAGAAATGGCTGCTCCACTGTAGTGCCTGTAATCAGCCTTTTCTAAAAGTAGCCTTCCCCTTAGAAGGTAAGTATTCCTACATAGATCCATGCTTTCAGAAAGCCTTTTATTTTTGTAATTAGTATTAAAATGAAAGGAAATATCTGCAGGCATCTTTTGAAGAAAAGCACACTAGGCTGCCACACCACTCTCACGTACAGGTATCTTACATTCACATCTCAGTGGATATGTAATGCAGAAGTGAGAGCAACTTTAGAGCTCAGGTGAGGGTGTTCCAGGAAGTTTTCCCAGAGAGACTCTCCTCAAACTCTTTCACATTAAAACAAGATATATGAGAAAAACAGGAGAGTCCCAGACAGTAGATGTAGCAGCTAGAGCAGCCTGGGATTACAAGGGACTTTTTCTTGATTGGTTTTTGTTTGTTTAATTGTGGGTCATTCCAGGGATCTGCTCTGTACTGCAATCCCATAAAAATTACATCTTCATACTTGAGGGAGCTATAAATAGGGAAGCTGGGATGGAATTGCACAATTTTGCCCCAGATGAATTTATATTGTGCAGCTCTGCTGGGATCAAAAGTCCAAAGTTTCTTAGGGGACCAAAATAGTGCAGGATCTCAAAGTAATAACAATCACTTAGAACTCCCTACCACATTCCAAGACAATTCACCACTGAGCCACGTGAAATTGCCACACAGCTCAATAAACATGGCATCCTAAAATGCCAGTGGCTCAAATGCCTGCAAATGAAACTACCTGAAAGCACCAGAAAACCCTGCATGACTGACTGAAGAGCTGCCTTTAGATGTATCTGGCACATGAGCCACTTTTCCCTTTAAGAATACTAAAGAAAGAAACCACCACCTACAACAGAAACAACCCAAAATCAATTAGTGCACTTAAAGAAAAATTCAGAAAGACATGATGTATTAAAACTATTTCTACTGAGACAGCTGCTATGTAAGACAAAGTGCAAAGCATAGGACAGCATAAAACAGCATAACTGGACTAACAGGGTAAGATGGACTATTTTATAGTTCCCACCTCCTAGATCTTCCAAGTTTCAAAAGAGGACAAGGAATAGCAAAGACAGACTTGTACCACTGGTACATAAGAAAAGAATTAGGATCTATGCAAAGACAGCTACCAACCATCAGAGAAAGGCCCATAAAACTGCAAATGTTGGTAAGACAGGAGAGACACTCATGTAAAAGAATTATTGTGAAAGAATATGAAAAGCTTTGGAATATAAACAACACATGCAAAACGTTATCCAAATTTTATCCCACTTTTAAGCTGTCACATATCTAATCTTAAGAAACTGGTTTTTGAGAAAAACTTTCCAGTTCTAAAAGCAGAATTGACCTGCATCAGCTATTATGAATTTGAGGCACAACAGTGACTCAGACCTCTGATAAACTCTATCTGACTTCATTTTGCTCTGGAAGACCCTGCAAGATCAGTCTGATCACATTGCAGGACAGCTTAGACTTGAACCCTCTCAACTTTTGATCATTTTGTTTTAATCCAAACTTTCAAAGAAGGTTCTATTTTCTGAAGCCCATACAAAACTGCATCTGCAACATTATATCAGGATAGCAGAAATACGTACCTGAGGCACTCCAATCCTTCTGCAAGCTTCCAAGAAATTCTCCACGTTTCGTCTGCATTTTGCCATTGTAAGTTTAGGCTGCAAAAAAGCAAAGGCATACAGTGTTCTTAACTGGCAAGATTTTAAAAGATTTTTATTTTTAATTTAAATAAAACTCTTAATAAATCTCTCCGCCAAAAACATACTGCACTGACATAAGCTTGTCTAACTCAAAGCAGGCTCTGCTGAAGTTTGCTTTACTTAGAAAACCAAGCCCAATTTTCAAAGCTGTTTTATAAAAAGCAAAGTTATGAAAGTTGAATGTTTTTTAAAAAAGAACAATACTAAGCTCTGCAATATTTATATACACAATGTTATATAAAACTGGCTAACACTTTTACATGATTATTGCAAAAAATGGTTTAACTCTACTCCAGCCAAAACCAGCACACTGGCTTTCATGCTGTGATTCCAGAGCAATTTCATTATATGAAGCAATTTAGAGTCTATAGAGGATTACTATAATGCAAAAATATATAAATATCAAACCCTATTTCAATTAACAAAGAGTTAAAAAAAAAAAGGTTAGATGAAACCAAAAAATAATTGAAGCTTGCTGCTTGTCAGCCTCTTGTAGATGTGTTTGATGTAGCTGTTTGAATTGCACTCACTGGCATTTTTTCAAGTGAGGGTTTTTCTGCAGTCAGCTTTCACACCTCTCCAGACATACCACAGCACAGGCTCTGTCTTGTTTCTGTTCTCGAAGCTTATTCCTTTCTGGTTCAAGAGACATAAGCTCCCTGCTCCCCTGGACAAGCTACTCAGTCTGTGTAGCAGCAGCCAGTGGCCTCTGTGAGTTCAACACTTCCATAAGTGTTGGGGCTTCTTCTCTCCCCTCCATATGCTGCATTTCCCCACCAAGGAAGCAGGTTAAAGGCCAGCACTGACTTCTTTCTCCCAAAGGATGAAGGGAATACAAAGATCACATTGTGCCTGGGGAATGACACTGTGTCTCTTCTGCTCCTGGAGCCACGCAACTAAAGGCTGCCTCTTCCTTGGGATTCATATGACAAAGCCATGATTTAATTCCTCACATAGAATATTCAGGAGCTCACAAAACCAGGCCATTGAAAAGATCTTCTCAGTGATGCAAGTCTTCTGAGCAGTTGCTACATGCCTTTGCTGTGAAGGATTCCACAATCTGCCTAAAATGTTGCCGTGTCCAGTTCAATCCTTCTCAAAATAACGAGGGCATCTGCCTGCTCCCATCGAGTCCCAGGGAGAGGAACCACAATGATACCGTCGGCAGCCCTGTAAGTGCCAGTTCAAATTCCAACCAACACAAAGAATGACTCCAAAAGAAGGATAAGTGAACACTACATGCATATTTCAACTTCTTCCCCCAGTCTTCAGTTTTTTCCTTTATTCATACAATTTAAAGGTGCATAACAAGCAATTTGTCTGTTCATACTACTTTTAAGTAGCTGATCCTAAAGATTTTCACTGAACTTTGAATTCTTCAAACACAGATTAGGTAAATAATCTGCTGTTATCTCGCAGTTTTTGACCTTTCCCCAATTCTGTGCTTTCCCTAAATGATACACAGTAATGTGGCCAGAAACAGATCACCCTCAGTGCTTTCCAGAAACACTGAGCCAGGCAGGGTAAGAGAAACAACTTCAGAAATTTTCAAACTTCTCTGTGTGCTTCCCTCCTTGCTCACAACAGTCCCCGGACACAACCACCTTTTTTTCCTGTTATCACAGAGGTATGACTGGATTTGTTTAGTTCCAGGAGATGCTGTTCTCCAAGTAGTTTGAGTGTGCTCTACTAAAATTCCTAAGCAGAGGAATTTCTAGTTGCTGTGAAGTGGACACAGGAATCAACTTAGTCCTCTGTCTGTTTTCACTGTCTTGTGTAATGGGATCCTACTTGCTGTAGAGAATGCTGTAATTCCCCACTATCTGTTTTCCTGAACTTCTCAGATGTTTTGACCTTTTGAAATATCCTATTTCAGTTTCCATGATGATCTCTTACTTCGCTAGTCTTCAAGTTAACATGTTTAGGGAGGACTTGAAAATGTTAATGTTTGCTTACAATCTGTGTCAGAAGTAACTTCATTTAAATGAAACAAACCCAAACAGAATTTCTTTTAATGACACTACAGACCTTTTTCAAACAGGACAGATGGTTATTTTTTTGTCATGTAAGTTCACAGAGAACACTCGGTTTAGCATTTTTGTCTGGATCACAGGACTTTGTTGGATGTTATTCTGGACAGCTATAAAATACTGTCATTATTACCCACTTACCACAGCAGGGGAGGGGACGTGAATGCTGGGGACAGAGCGGGGCCGCACGTGGTTGGCCAGATGGCACAGGACAACACCGTCGGTGAGAGCGGCCCCGAGATCGCTGGGCAACGACACCTTCAGCCGTGACTCGATGTTCTGCAGAGAAACGGACACGAACACACACAGGGACTGAGGGCCGGGTTCCTCCAACCCATCCATTCTGCACAAGTTTGTACAAGGCAGAGCTCCTGCATTCCAGCTCTGTCCATCCTCATGGCATTTCCAACCAGCCTTCTGAATAACCTCAAGGGAAGCTCTGTGCACTGCTGAGGCCCAGAGCTGGCCGCAGTCTGGGAGCAGCTGAGTTCAATGAAGAACAGTTTCATTGTACAGCACAGTGGACTAATACAACCATTATTCAAAAATAATGGAAATCAGGATCTAGGAACAGTATTCCTAACCCTACACATTCTCAGAGAATAGTTATGCCAAGGGAAGTGAAAATAATTGTCTTCGTGGCTTGGAGGACAACACAGTCAACAAAAGTCAAGACAACATTTTTGCCTTTAAATAAAAATCTGAACTACTCAGCATAAACAGTCCTTTAAGAAGGAGGTAGTTATAGCATTTGTGTAAGAGAATGAATAAAAATTCAATTCAGGCTTTCAAATGATTTAAAACAATGCTGTGTGAATTTCACTTTTAATACTATATCTAAATTTTTAAGTATTAAAAAAAGATTTAAGCTTACCTGGGAAGTAGAACAAGAGACAGACTACATACTGAACATTCTGGGATAAAAGAAGAGAGGGTGTGCAGACAGCACCAAGTTTTGTTTTACTTAAGGTAACTTTCTCCTTTTAGACAAAGATTGTCCTTACTTTAACAAAGAGAAGAAATTCTCTTTGTCCATCTGGGATGCTTATGGCTTTTAAGGTTAGCTTCAACAAGTAAATTCTTATTTATTGGGAAAATTCCAACATTTAATGAGAGCACTTCAAGGAATCCCTTTATGTTCTCCAGAAACAAGTCTGCGGCAAAGCAGGGCAGTACCTTAATGCCATGTGGCATTTTCAATATTCACATTTATTGTCATTGTATCTGGACACAAAATAGGAGCGTGGTGGCCCTGGACGGACAAAAAGCACAAATACAAGAAACATTTGTGCCTCAAATGTTCTGCACTTAACTAAGGATAAGGCAAGAATCAATAGACAGATCCAGAACACACAAGGAAACCATGCTGTCAGCATGAATGGCAGCAGTCTCTGCACTCCATCTGCTTTTCTGTGGGCTTTACAGCAAAGAGGAGTTTTAAAAAACGGATTAAAAGGGGACAGTGAGGCAATTTTCCAGGGAGTTTCTTACAAGTGTAAAAGCTGATGAGGAAGAAAGGAAGCACAAATTCATGTTAAAAGCAGAGTTCACTGGACACTCAGAAGCAGGAGTCAGCATACTTTATCTTAGAGAATTTGAAGATGACTTTATCTACCACAAACAACCAAGTGAACACCACTGCACCCATCTGAAGGAACCACACAGACTGTACCATGCCACTTAATTTTGGTCAACTATGCACCGTATTGGGTCAGTGAAACTGGTGCAGAAGACAAAGGCAGATTGAGCAAGGTCACACAATTACTACAATGTCCACGTTCTGGCTCCTGGCAGCACTCACCTTGCGAAGCTGCTCTATCAGCTCCAACTCTTCCTCTCGCTGTTTGGAGTTTTGTCTCACTTGAGGGTCTGCAGAATCATTAGCAGGAGACAAGGCACGGGTAGAGGATGAAGCTACAGCTAGAAGAGAAGCATGAAGAAAAGAAAATCACTAAGCACTGTTTTGCTCCATGTCATTCAGTGCTGCACCGCACATGAAGAACAGGGACAGTACATTCCTTTCCACAAATCTTTCTTGCCTTTAATTATTAATCAAACTAATGCTCTACTAATCTAAAGGAGGTGTTTTTTAACACATTTTCCTTTCTGCTGAGATTCTGTTCTTTCTGTTGGGTAATAGTCATGCACAAATGAGGACAAAGTTTTGCCAGATGGAGTATGTTGAAGTGGTTCAGGCTTTCTCCAGAAACTGCAATTCTGGTGTATGCTACCGTGCAGTGCAAAATTTATCAAGCTGCCTTCATCAGTTGTTGAAGGCTTGTGTGGCAAAGGTGTAAGCACAGACCAGGAAGAACAAATTCTCATATTTCCACAGATATGACAAAGGAATATCTGACAGCTCTAAATAAAACAGTTTGTTCACAAACTATGTAATGCCACCTGTCTACAAACGGAACTCTAAAAGCAGTTTGATGATAAAGACCTGAAGTAACCAAACACTGCAAACCCCAGGTAATGCAGATGTCAATATAGTGTAGCAAAACTAGCTGTTTTCTGAGCTATATAACCTACCTTTCTTGGCTTCATCCCTGACAGCTGTTCGGAAAAGGAAACTCTCAGGTCGCTGGGAAGGGTTTCTATAGGAAGGCAGGGCTGCATGGCCAGCATATGGAGGGGAAAGGTGGACTAAACAAATGTGAAAAGGCACAGGAAAGGAAGGAGGAAGAAGGAAATGGTTAGAGTTTAAATAGGAAATGGGTTCAGCATGTGGTAATTAAAAAGAACAAACCAAAAATTTTTATGTAATAATGACAAAATAAATTACAGCCATGCATGATAAAAGCACAGAGCAGGAAAAGGCACTTCCAAGGACACTTGCATGCAAAGCACATTCCACATACCAATTCCAACAACTGTTCTGACTCTTGCTGAATGCATCTGTGTGCCAAAGCCTGCATGAAGGCCTAAACCAGCCAAACCCTAAGCTCTGCCTGAGGACATGCTTCATCCCTGTTGTCTCTTCCCTCATGTTTTTCTAAGGAGACCCAAATAACTTGGTAAATTCTCAAACACAGCAGTGCCACATACAGAGATGGGAACAGATGCTCCCTTCTCTTCATAGGACAAAGAAGCAAGCAGGCATTTTGTTCTTATGTTTCAGAAATTTTTCTTCCTTTCCCTGTTACCTGTCTGAGCGGTAGGTGAGCCAGGGGAGATGGTAGATCTGTCATCACTCTGTGAACAAAAAAGCAGAAGGGTATAAATGGTGCTAATCTGGAAAAGCTGTGACTACATTTTAATTTGCTGTGTTTTAAAAAAGCTCCATCATCTAAATGTGTTTAAGAAAAATAACCAGATATGTGAAAAAACACAGTATGTTGTTCCCAAAGTCTCATCTCTGCAGAGATAAAGCTTTTTCCTTTGCAGAAATGACACAACTGCTTTTTTCCAAGGAAATCAATGATGAAACAGCACTGACTGTTCACTCTTCCTTCCAAGCCAAAGCGAAAAAGTATTCTTTGCAAAGGGAACACCAAACCCCAGGTATTTAGCAATATGCAAAACTGGCATTACAGGGGCCTCAATAAAGATACACCTCTTTGACACCTTTGTTAATGCAAAACTGCTATTTATTGAACATCCCTCCCCAGTAAAACACACTGTGGTTTTATCACAGTGCTTACACAGACTAATGATTTCTTGTGAGAAATGCATTCAGTATAGCAGCTTCCACAGAAGAGCAAGAAACAGGTAAAGAATACAAGTGTACTTTTGATGAACTCAACTTGATCAAGAGTAAATGATCTTGTACAGAAAAAGCAACATCAAAGACAACCAAGAACCCCTCCAAGCAGAGACTGGTCACCATGTTTTTATAGATCAGGCCTCCCGTAGACACAGCCTAAAGCTAAGATGAGGTAATACCTACTACAGTTTAATCAGGTGAATCGGATTCATACCCTACCTGAACTTTTGATTAGACGCTGACAGACTAACACCTGTTAAAACAGATGTGTGGATCCGAGATTTTTTGTTGGCTCTACTGGTGAATGATAATAGCAAGAGATACCTTGACAGGACTGAAGGTAGAGGCACTAGGCAGGGTAGTAGCACAGCTTTCTTGGTTCAACCCTGAGAGTGACTGAATGCAGAAAGAAAGAGAAGGCAGTAGCAGAGTTAGAGAGCAGCTGACAGGTCATGCACAAAGGTGGAATGCAGCAAAGTTCAAAATGAAGAGGTGACCATGATCACATTCTCAGAAACACTCAACAAGCAACAGATCCATACTTGCTAAACTACATTTAAAGTCTTCCTATCCTTCTGAACTTTCTGGCTAATAAGCTTGGGAGGTGCAATGTTTCTTTTACAGATAACACAGTGACATTAAAACAAGAATTAAGAACAGTAACTGAGGCAAAAGCTTCTTTAGCAACACCTATGCCATCAGAAAAAAGGAAATTTTACCCTACAACAGTCCATTCTAGGCCACTATTAAAAATAAATAGCTTTCTTTTTAATGTTTTGAGAATGCTGTGCATTTTTAGTCAGTTATTTTCCCATCAACTTTGTAAAATCTGAGAAACCCGCGTATAACAGGGTCAGTAATACATGCCTTGTGTTTGCCACAAACACCTAACGCTGATCCTTGTGATTACACACAAAGTAAATGAGATTCTGTGGGTGGAATCTACCTCTCAGGGAAGATGTCAGTGTCAGGATTTACAGTGCTGCCATAAATAAAACACAGCCACATTTCAATTATCACCAATATGAAACCCAACCAAATAAACAACTTTTCCTGTTTATAGAACAGGGACTCCAGTGTGCCCATCTGTCACTGACAAGTCAATCTAAAGGGCCAAATTCTGTGTCTTCTGTTTTCAACACAGTAAACATTTGAGGACTGAATGGCTCAAGAATGAAACTATACTTTCTGAAACTCAAATAGCAACGTGAGGAAAGAGGAATGTTCTTTCACAGGAAAAGAACATCAAATGACACCTAGAAACTCTACAGGTAGTGAAAGACACACTTGGGAATGTTAGTATTTAAAACATTTGCAACTATTCTGCCACTTCAGAACAGGACAGCACAACCAGGAGGACTTGAAGAGAGGTTTATACTCAGGGCAAACCTTGCACACAAACATCTTTAAGCCCTGTGCAGATTTAACAGCTGATCCTCAAGACAGCCTCTTTTTCTAGAACAGGGCAGAGCCAAAATCGTGGGTTTGTTTTGGTTTGTCTTTTTTAAGAGTTTCAAAATATCACTTGACTTTCACAACACATTAGCTAGCACAGAAGAACAGTAAAATAAACCAGAACTGGGTGGGCTGTAACATTAAGGTATGTGTTTATTCCTGCATGAAAAGAGCAGGGCAACCTTGACACAGAGTAACAAGAAGTCATCACAATGCACGTACCCAGCAGTGGGCGAAGGGAAGGGGAACACGGCACAGCACAGGGCAGGACAATCACAACAGCAACACACCACATGCTCTTCACCTGTTTGCGAGTCCCTGGCCTCCTTTTAATGGTATTGGTGTTATTGTCAATCTCAAACACAAAGAGAGGCTCAAAGCCATTCTGTCAGGGACAGTAAGGAAAGAAAGAGAGGGAAGAAAGGAAGAAGTAAGGCAAAGAACAACTGTAAGAAAAGGCAGCCAGAATACTAGAGGAGCCAGGATGTTGCAGTTCAGACTCACACCACCCTCTGCACATGCTGCACGTGGCTTTTAGGTCTAGCACTGAAGTCAGAGAAATCTCCCTGTGCCAGGAACAATTGTAGATACAGGGAGTGCCAAAGCAAAGCCCAACCAGCACCCTGCACAAACCAAATAAGGATATTCTAAGGGAATTCAGTTATTAAACATTTGCATACACAAACAGATACCAATGGTCTGAGAGAAAACTCCAGGATACAATTTAGCATAATTCAAGTTCTGCTTACTTTACCCATACCATTATTATTTATAACACTCTGGTGCCTAAGAGCCTTAACTTACAATGTTTCTGAGATCCCATGTGCTAACACTAACATGACAGCCTCAGGCCATGTTTGAGACCACAACAAGAAAACACAACACAAGGAAGGGAGCACAAGGCAGCAATGACACAAAGGTTGTGAAAGGAAGAGGTCACTGCAGCTGCCTGATGCTTATTAAGCACCTCATGGGCTTCACAACAGAGAAATCAAGCAGCAGTTAGAGAGGATGTTTTGGGTTTTTTTTCCCTTCCATAGTGCTAACCTTGTAAGGGACAGTATAGGAGAAAACAAGAAGATATTTAAAGAAAAGTGAGATTTAGAAGCAATGAAGGCTGAAATCATTAGCCAAATCTAAAACCTTGATACCAGCTCAACAAGTAATCTCAATTGTAATGAATAGGACCACCCTTCTGAGAACAGCAAGAGGATATGGCTAATATAAAACTTTTATTTTCTCAGAGAGGCCAGTGATTACATTTATTCAACAACATGTTACTTAGTCTGGCTATCACAAGTCAACACAAAGAAATCCACCACAGCGTGCAATGAAGTACTACAGCCAGACTCCACTTCAAATCACAGGTAAGCAGAAGGAACTACAACTAAACTGAACCCTTAACATTCATAGAAGGTAAGGGCAATCATTTTGGGACTTCAAACAGACTATCCTGGAGTTGTTTATAAAAGAAGGAAATGGTCAGAGTAAACTGTGCAACATGAATACATTTTAACTTTAATTACTGATAAAAGACAACAAGAACACAACCAAACGAAACATTAAAGATTTTAAAAAGGAGATTCACAACTTAAGTTTTCATTTTAAGAAGTTTCTGTTAAAGCAGTGACAATACCAGAAGAGTGAAGTAGTAAAATAAAAGAAAGCTCACTTGTTTTCTAACTACCTATTAGACTTAGTACTTTTAAAAGCCTTTCCTTATGTCCTCATAAATTAGACGTAGCTAAATTTCAAATCTGTTAGGGAAAATGTCAAATGAAATGCAATAAAATATAAAAAGGTAAAAGTAATTTCAAGTCTAAAGACAAACTTTTTTTTTTTAAAAAGCAAACTGATGAACATTTCCTTGCTGTTTTTACCATATAAAATACATTTGTGGAAACAAAAAATGCTACAAATTCATGAGCTACTATGGGCTTAATGTTCCAGTTCCAGTAATTGCCAGAAACAGCTGCCCTGGCATATGTCATCATTAGACACAGGGTGTATTTCCACTACAGAAAAGAGCTGCAGATCATACTTCGGCAGTTCAGAAACCCCAGCATTCCATATACTATTATAATTTAGCGCTGCTGAAAAGAGCAAGGAATTAAAAGAAAAACGAAGAGAAATGATCACTTTCAATGTTTTCCTGCCTTCCTGCCTTCAATTTTTTTGTGAAGTGGAAGGAGGTAACTTGGTTAAAGACACAAAGCAAACAAACAGCAATGGAAGCCAGTTTCAAAATAGTTTCTGAAAATTCTATCTAGTAATTTACAACAAAAGTCACGTGATCACACAATCAAATAGAAATAGGGTCCCTTAAAGGTATCTTTAAAATACATTCCAAAGATGAATTCACTGACAACAGAGTATCAACTCTTAACCCAAACCACTGCTGTTCTCCTGTTTCTTATTATCTAAATACAAAAGCACATTTTAATATGCTCATTGATTGTGATTTCTCTAAACAGGCACATGATCATTAAATCTCTCTCCAATATTTTAAGCTTTCTTTCTGTCCCACACAGTGCTAGTCATATGAAAACAGGAAAACGAAAAAGTCTGAATAAATACACAACAAATATCTTGACCAACATGTTCAGGAGAGAGATATTCTAACTGAGAGCACTGCCTAAAGAAAATTTAGGCAGACAATTGGAAGCACATAAATTAAGAAAATAAATTCTAGGCATGCAGTCATGCAACAGCAGGCAAATCAAGTGTATTTTTTCTTTTATAGACATGGATTATGGCATTATATTCTTTAATTATGCTACATTGCTAAGATGCCATAAAGGAAGAAATAGCATAAAACATGAATTATGTAGATAAATGTTTTTATTTTTGGTAAGTGGTGAAAATAGCTGATGTTTAAGACATTTTCATCAACAAACAATAAAATGGTATGACGAATATTTCATGATTTGTAGCATTCATATGCAGAGCAGTTTTTTCCTGTGCCAAGTATTTCTAACCCCCATGTGCAGGATGCAGACAGGTTAAAGTAGAAGGCTGTACTCCAAGCATTAAAATTGCTTACTTGACACTGAAGAGCACATCAATTAGGAAGCAGCTGAACAGAGAAGAAATCAAACCAGAACAACTAGAGGTGAATTTTTCATTTTGGAAACTGTTCTTTACTATTAGTAGTTTTCTTCTGCTCTCAGCAAAAGACAAGCTTAAATTATTTTGTGGAAAACCATAATTGTATTATTAACCAATAGCTGACAGCAAAAGCGTCAACATATTCATAACATTAGAGTTCACAGCTAAGCTACTTTTCAGTGAAGATGGTCATGTTTTATGCTATTTAGATTAGCTCTAAATCAGTTGGTCTAATCTGAGACAATCACAACACGTTATTTCTATGCTCTAGAATCTGCCACATAAAAAGGCCGTGACGTGCAGGATCTTACCACTAACAAGGCACTATCATCAGTATGCTGAGACCTTCTGGATGGAAAGGGACACTGGGAGGTGGGAGAGATGGAGTAATGTCAGAAACACACACAATGTCAGAAACACATGGTATGTGAACAGACAGACAATTTTGGAACATGAACTGCTTGCTTATCGCACTGTGAGGCTTTTTAAAACAATCCATGAAGTGCATGAAACCCTGCAGGAACACACAGCCATGTGACCCAGGAATTACAGTGCGTTCGTACTAAGGAATCAATTATTCTGCTTTCTGTGTTGTCTCAAGCAAATACAGAAAACTGTGCATTGACAGTCCTTACTGTGGTGGAACAAAGGACCCCTTAAAAGAATAAATTAAGAACAGAAAAACATTAGGAAGAAAAAGGAGCAAAAACTATTTCAATTACTCCATGTTTTGGTAATTTTCTAACAAAAAAGAGTTAGTTGGAAAATGCTGCTAAAGAACGATTATATTCATTATATCATTAAAAGTTTTGATCTCATTAACACTACCAAGTGAATTATCTTCCTCTGGATGCAAGTGGGGATGGCAAGCAGTGGAAGAGCTATTACTGTGCAGAAATCTGATGCAGAGACTGAACAGATGCCATTGGCTCAGCTCTGTATATTCTAGAAGACTGAGCCTTGTATGATTTGTGTTCCCTACTGACTTACTGGTTTTGATTATAAAACTATAGTAGAATAAAACTTTAAAAAATATTTGTTTCTCTGATAGCCCTCAAAATTCTAATACTTAATATTTCTGGGATAACTTGTGATCTAATAACAGGAAACTGGGAGAACACTGATCAGTGAAGGATGACTGTAACACAGTAACTTGTCTGAATACTCCCGTTAGCAAATAAACTGCACTGCTCACAAGGAGCACGTTAAAATGGAATATGAAATCTATTTTCTGCAGAGAACATAGAAAACATACAAGAAACAATAAAACAACACACTTGGACAGGCAGTCTACATGAACAGAAGGAAATATTAGACTGTTCCCATAAGCAAAAAAACCCAACCCAAGGCTTAATAATGCATGAAAAAACTATGCTATAACCCAGTTCTGGAGAATCCTCCACAATCAGGAAAATACCTCTGACATCCCTAGTAATAATCTTACTGGACTCTTACCTCACTATCCAGAGGACTTTGCTTCTGAGGACTTAAGGATGCTTTTTGCTATAGAGAAAAAAGAAAAATGAAAATAATAATACAAAAGCTCAGAACCAATCAGCATAATTTAGAAGCGTTTTAAAACAGAACTCTTAGTTTTTAAATAAAACATGCATTGGGGAAATTGCTAGTTTCCACTCAGCTGAAACTTCACTGTTAGTTAAAAAAAAGCCTTCATTCCACATAAGACAAACCCCCCAATTTAGAAAAAAATTATGCATATGAAAGATGCATAAGAAATCCAAAATATAACCCAAGGGAGGAATTTAACTGCTAAGTGCTCATGAATAACAAAGGCAACCAAAGGAAAAAAATCCAACAAATCCAAACCAAAAACCCCAAGAGGCTCATCAATGAACAAAACACATCCTATAGAGCTAAGTCTTTAACTGAAAGACTGAGCTGAATCTTTAATAAAGCAGCTTTACTACAAAATAGTGCCAGGGGCCTGAGACTAGCTGGTGCTAATGAAGAGCCCAATTTCAGGCAGTTAAAACCCTTTTTGTAAACTAACTTTACACATGAAATAAATGCAATAAACCATTCTTTGCCTCTCTGCAGACCACCCTAAGCCCAAAATATTAACTGTAACATTTCTTAAATTTGTGATGGTGAGATTTGGGTAGGTTCCCAGAGCAGTAAACAGTAAAATAAATTTAAGTCAACTAGCATGTTAAGCAGTAGACTACTTCATACTGACTGCAGTGACAGAGAAAGTGAAGACCCAGTGTCCACAGAGTCTGATGTACCATAAGTCTGCACCCATGCTTCACCTGGAGGTAACTTATTTTATTATCATAAAATAGCAAAGTAGATCAGGTAACATTACATTTTTGTGTGTATGATTCTCTCTTCCCTGACAAATTTGCCTTCAAAATTACAGTGCCTCTATGCCTTCTCAGATAAAGACTCCTTCTTTCTTATACCAATCCTGTCACATGTATCCAAATGAAAATTGAGTAAATGAGGAGGACTATGCAAAACCAGAATTCTTTGCAACACTCATATTTTGGGTGAATCTTTCATTTCCTCCCCAGTTCTAACTTTGCTTATGTTAAGCTACAGCATCAAGACCGAATGGACTTCAATGTTAGTTGACGATTTTCTTTATAAAGCGCAGTGCACGCCCAGGAGCATAATGTACAAGTATTAATGACCTTGGCAATCACTTATAATTACAGGATTCAGTAAAGATAAAGTATCAAGTAGGTACTAAAAGGAGGTACCTTAACAAAGTCAAGGACAGCTTCTCTCTGGATCTGCTTTGTTCTCATCCTCTCCTCCTCGTACTGAAGCGCTGCCAGCTGAGCCTCCCGACGGGTGCGCTCGATGTGCCTGCGGTGCAGCTCGGAATCTGTGCTTGGCACCTGGAATAAAACAGTGCATCAGGCTGTAAAGTCAGAGCTGCAGATAGGTTATGGAGTAACAGTCCATGTCTTATGGATAACATCAGTTTGGTATTGCATCAAACTCATCAATAGAATTAAACAGTGGAGGTCAATGTGTGTTACCTGACTGTGGTGACTTGACAGCGAGAGAAAATAAGGTGAATCAGGCAGGGGTCTGACAAATGCAAAAACAGAGAGAAAGTAGACTTTTTATCTTAAATATAAAAATTTTGCACACATGAATTGTCAGTGACACATAAGTATCTTATCAAATCAGAAGAGTAACTGTTTAGCAAGCAAAGCTCTTTAACTGCTGTGACTGTGATTTAACTGACTGTGCATGACAGATTTTGTGAAGGCATTTCTATCTCTTCTCCTTAATTGTGATAAAATTTTTCTACAGCCCAAGATGCAGAAAGCACAAGATGTACCAATGGGATTGTAATGTATGGCCTATTACACTCCGATACTCAGTACTTTGTACCCATTCTCTAAGAGTAATCAAACCAGGAACTTTCCAGATGATCCTCATATAGAGGAACAACTGGCTATTATGGTTATTTTGGGGGGAAGGGGAAAATAACAAAATTAATCAGTAGAAACTATGTTTCTTTTCCCTACCTCTCTGTCCTGTCCACATAACTCCTTAGTACTTGGTGATGCTCTTTGTCCTGCATCAAATTTAGAGTTTCAGGTCTTCGTAATTCATCTGTATCCCTGCAGGTAGACACCAGGTGGAAGGGGGATTGGCCACTGATGCATATAAACTACTGTCAGATGAATTCTTCTCTAGATTAAAACTGTTTTTCTAAGAGAATTGCCTAGACAATTAGCTTCAGATAATCACAAAGGTGAAATTTATTATGACTAAAGAAATCACATTGTGATACCAAGTCAGATGACAACTACTGCGGTTTATAATTAAATAAATGTAACTTGCTTAGTTAACAATGATGTCAAAATACTCAAAGATGGATTCTCTCTTTTAAGATTATATTTTGGTTATTGCAGGCCTTATTCTGCTCTGGAAAGAACAAAATTATTTTTAAACATCAGTACCCTTTGACATTTTCAGAACAAATCTGCTCCCTTCACCGGTCAGGTGATGACCTCCTAACTGCCAGCAATACAGGCCATCAAAGTCACGAGGTAAACAAGAACCCATCTGTCTCTTATCCATCTTATCAACAATAAGAGAGAAATTTTGCAGTCAGTTCTTTGCTAGAAGGCAGCTGTTAGGACTGAAACAACTCCCAAGGTCCAGAGTCCACAGCATGTTCCCTGCCATGTTGCTGCCTAGAAAGAAAGTTGATGGAAATCAAGGAGTTTGCTCTTGACAGCCCAAACTCTGCGACCTTTGCTCCTGGGACAACTATGGAACAGAGACACACTTAACAATGCGTTTCCAAAACATGTCAGTCCAGCTGCCTGCGTGTAGACTTACGACCTTTTCTGCAGGGAGCAGTTTAAGAGATGTGGAAGACCCACATGTTACAGGTCTCCCTGGTTACTTAAATTAGCACTGAAGCACATGACAAATCCATTACTGTGCTGTTCTGAACTGACAGCACTGGGTCCAACTGAGTGCCAAGAAGTGTATTCAGAGCTGAGTACACACAGCTTTGTTGCAACAGGAATGCACCACTGTCTGTCCAGAGGCACAACTGTATTTATTGAATTGAACCAACTAATAGAAGCACTCTTGAGATGAAGTCTGCATTACATCCAACTCCAAGAGTTTTAATGGCTCCAGCATGCTGAAGAAAAAAAACCAAAGAGGTTGCCTGCCAAGGCATTTGCAGAATTATTGTGGAAGCAGTTTACAGCTTGTGGTTGCCACAAATGAAGTATTTGCCTAATACAAGCTTAAAATATAAAAAATTAGTCATTGTCATATGGCTGTTTTTACACAACTTTGAAGGCAATAACAACAGGACCTGTTTTTTATTATTAAGAATTTCACCCTGCTGCAGCATAACATGAATAAGCTAAAATTCATTTAGATCGTTAATTATTTCCACATGAAGACCTGCTGCTATCCTTCAGTTAAATTTTGAAAACACTGGTACCCCAGTGAACTACAATTTCCTTTATCATTAACATCTGTCTATGTAAACAGCACCTCTCCCCTGGCTAACCAGCCTTCCCGCATTTCCTTCAGATGTTACGTGGAAACCAGTGTTTGTAAAGTCTAATTATTTCCATGCTGACAACAAATGTTCAAATAGAAAAATAAATAAACAAACAAGCAAAAAAATCAAGTCTTTCAGACCAAGAGCACCCACTTTATTTGGGGAGAACATGTCAGACTGCTCTTTATGTACCTTACTTGTGGACATTACAGGATAAGGAATGCCGACATATGCTGAAGGAGTTACCCTCCCTTATATCAGTGCAGCTACTGTATCTACACATTTACTGTACATTTCAAAATGTCTACTAAAACGTTGCCAAAACTCTGGAAAAATTTATACACAACTCTTGGTTTAATTTTCTCTTTCAATACCATTTTAGAATCCATTAAAAATTAACTTCTACTGACAGTGTAAGTAATGACATACATAAGACTAGCAGTTGTCTTTCTTTTTTTCCCAAACAAGTACAACTGGGGTGGTTTTCTGTGGAGTCTTTGCACATTCACTTTCCCTCCACAGAATACTGAAATGCTTCAATGGCATATTAAAGGTTCTATGAATTTTGATTACAGTTTCTTATCAAAAAGCTATACATTTGCTTATCTTCTGGTCTTTTAACTAGACACCCAAAGGTCTTTTCTTAAACCTAACCACCCCTCATTTATACTCTGTCCAACTCTGACCCTTATTTTACAGATAAGCATTCCCTCCAATAAGCTAAATCATCATTCAAGACAATGGGCATAGTCAAAAAGTCTACTTCATTAAACTAAGTGACCTGTTTTCAGGTCTGACTCTAATTCTATCCCTTCTTCTTCTGATGTAAGCTCATGATTATGGCACAGAAAAGCACATTTTAAATTACACTGACCCCCCACAGTACTAGAGCCACCAACAAGTCAACCAAGAGTGTGACCTCATGGCCCATCACATACTCCATAGTAACCCTATGTTTCCACTAAACCTGAAGCACATTTATCCCTTCAGTCCTTTATGTAATACAGCATAAGTCAAGTATTTCATCAAAGCACAAGTTACATCCCAATAAGCAGATATTAAATCAGTTTAAAAGTATACGCTTTAATTAGGCATATTTTTTTAACCAACTGATTTAAAGCTGAGCATTGGCCTAGAACAGCCACGCCTTTTGCTCACTGCCATTATTAGAACTCAAATTCCTAATCTGGAGCAGCAACTTAACAATAAAGTGCCATGTACATTTCTGGTGAAGCAACAGAAAACAATGCCTTTTTCTAAACATGTTCAGCAAATATGTGGTCTGCATTCTTCATGAAATTCTGGATAATTACTGTTACCACAGTAATTCTTACCTGTTTTGATGTAAATGCCGTCTTGTATCCTCTGTTCTCTGAAATTCTCTGATGGATGTAGGTTTTACTGGGGAGCTCTAAGCAAAAAATCATGAAAGACTAAGTTAGCAACCTATTCAGAAAACTGTATATTAAGGTCAATCTCTTGGCAAAGCTACATTTGTAACCACTGGTAATTAAAATACCTGACAAAGAAGCACAAAACACAACTCCAGGATGTTCATTTCCAACTAGGCAAGCCCACTCTTATTTTTTTCTCCAACTTAAATAAATATTAGTTTCAAGATTAAATATGCCTGCTGATAACTTCAGGAGCTTTAAAACCCCCACTGTTAAGAATCCTCCAGAGAAGTTCATGCAGGTAGAAAATAATTACTGGAATGTATATACATTTTTCAGAGTTTAACTCTACAAATGCACAGCAGTGCAGAGTGGATTCTCAGAAATACAGGATACAGTAGCCAATGATCTTTTATGATGCTGTAAAGACAGGTCCCAGAGGGACTAAGAAAGCAAAACATGGGATGAATAAGAACCCCTTAGGTTTAATTTGAGCTATGGAATCATTTACCCCATTGGGAACAGAGACACATAGCCTTTAGTGTTACTTAAAAACTTTTACTGACATCCATTAATGTAGGAAAAGAGAAACTTTTCAAGATGAACTTGCCAATTTTAACTCATGCCTGCGTGCACGATGCTATATTGCACAGTTAGCCCTGCTAAGTAGTAGAGTATTTTGCACTGTCTTTTGTGCCCTCTTTTTAGAGAAACTACTGCTTCAGCTAAAAGCAGTTTAATCTTTTTGAATAGAGAGACTCCAAGGAATAGCTTTTTTGATGCTGACAATGCCTTTTCCATATCTACAGCAAAGAGTCCTTGGGTTGACCTGCCAATAGTTCTCTTCTCTGAGTTTTGCTCTTGAGTTTGTGCTTCAAGTGTCATCAGCTACTGTGATTTGATATTGAATTTATGAGATTTACAAAATGAATTCACCTTTCATATCTGTTTGACTGATTTTAAGCATAGTAAACAGTAAAGTGGACAAAATAGGGACCAGGCTCCTACATGAAATATAAAGATCTGCTTTTTTTTTTTCTTTCTTCAAAGAGCAAATATCTTTCTGCTTTAAAACACACAAAACTTTGAAAGGACACATTTGAATCACAGCACAATAGTTACTCTTTAGCAGATCAGCCACAAAGATTTTTTCAGACAAGTTATTCATGTAGTCTGTACAGTGAGCCACTGAACTGTGTAACTGTGTACATAGGTATTAATTAAGACTGACAGAACACAGAAGGAAACATTATGTGGCTGAAAATCTGTTTCTATAGGTTTGATTTTTGAGGACACTCTCAAAAAGTGTTCCATCCCAATGATTTAACAGGGAACAGTTTTCACAAGGGCTTTCCCGGGGTGTATGAATTTAATTAATTCAAGTAAAAGCACCACCTCATTAGAGATTCGCCGCTGGTCAATATATGCCATGAACTGTGAGCTGAGGCTGTCTGAGTCCATGCACTTGGGCTGCCTCACCTCTTCCTCCTCCTCTTCCGTGGCACAGCTGTCAATATAGTCGATCTGATCGAGATCATGTTCCACTTGACACACATACACAAAGAAAACACCCATAATTAGATAACCCACAGGAGAGGAAAAGACCCAACAAAGCAGCAACGTAAGGAACTGAGGCCCTACTGTTTTTCTTCCATCTGGGAAAGCTCAGTCTAAAAGCTCTTGGATTTTGCCAGGCCCACTTTGAGAGAATGATAAAATTTATGCTTTTTAAAAAGCAACAATGAACATGTATCAAACATGTAGTTTTATACTGCTGGTTGCAGATACTTTTGCAGTGACTGAAAAAGTAAAGTAAATACTGTGATTTTTTTTCAGTACCGAATACTATATATCAAAAGCTTGTCAGCTAACACCAAGACTGTACAATGATCTGTGTAAATTTTTGAATAATTTCTCTTGGTTCTAATTAATCTCTGTCAGAAAAAATAGAATGGATATAACAGATTCTTCTACTAGTTTTAGTACTACAACAACAAAATAGAGAGCAGCATGTCTAACTTATATTTATTGCATTTGCATCCAGATAAGAAGTGTATGCGGAAATAATGAAGAACACTACAGAAAACAACAAAACACCTCTAAAACTGTGTAAAGGCACCTGCAATTTTATTTTTAAAAGAGGAATTAAAAAAGACATTAGGAATCACTGAAATGAGAGCAAGAAACAGCACAGTTTGGCTAGTATTGATTTTCCTTTGTGTGGGAGATATTATGTAGGGCAGTTTTTTCACTTGTCACTGCTTTTACACATTCTGCCCAGGGATTCTGAGAGTCATGACATTGAGCAAACCACTCAAATGAAAAATACTGTGAAAAATACTGTGCTGGGGAGGCAGAGGAAAGCATAAGCTCCCTTTCAGAGCACTAGAGCTTTTTTTTTTCTTAAAACTCTCCCCCAAACTTGCTCCACTCTCTTGCAGACATTCTTGTTCTACTCCCCCGCCCCTTTCCTGCTTGTCTAAAACAGACTTCTCTTTGCCTCACCACACAATCTAGCAACTGTTACTGCCAAAGCCACCTCCTCTGCTACTACAACCATCCAAAACAGCATTCCTATATACTTTGGCTTCACTAAATCTCCATCTCAGTTACAAATCTTAAAAAAAACCCAACATGCCAAATTTCCCCTTCTTTCCAGCCTTGCTTACTAAATAAAAATAACACCATGACCAATAATGATGCAGTAGAGGATGAAAAACATTAGTATCTGTGTTAGGAACACAGAATTGGAAAGCATCTGGGTCTCTGACAGCCACATGTGCCCCCCTCAGATACTCCTACTCATGAACTGACCGTGCTCCAACTTAAAAGGCTACAAGGCTTTCTGAAATCCCTTGTGTGCAAAACTCAAAGAACAAAATAAAGTTAGTCTTGGAGGCAGAGCTGGCAGCTCTGTTAAATACCTGTTATTAAGGCTGCCCAGAGCTTGCCATGACACCATGTCTTCAATTCTTTTAACTGCCAGAATTTACCTGTTTGAACTGATTTTTTTCCTCATGAATGTATAAAAGAGTGTGAGTCAACTAAAAAGTTTAAGATATTTCTAAAAATTGTGGCAGAGGAGAGTAAGACCAAGAAAAGAAGATGGTAAAAGATGAAGATAGGGAGGAGGAGGGAAAAGAGAAGCAAAAGTGGGAGTTTTGCAGAGGAGACTAGATGTAGCTGGGAAGAGTGACACTCAGATAAAGAAAATGAACTGTAGCCATTAGGAAGAATTAAAAACAGAGAGCAGCTGAGGAAGAAAAAAAATTAATAGAAGTATAAGGGGATGAGAACTAATTATAAGTAGTGAAGAAAAATTGAGAAGAAAGAATGATTGAAGAAAAAAAAATCTGGAAGAAGGTTAAAGTTAGGGCCTATAGGCAAAAAGAGACAGCAGTAGCAACAGATTATTGGAAGTTAAAATGGAGGAGGACTGTGGAGATCAAAAAACATGGAAAGTACCACCACCTCTTGAACAACTATGAAGGTGCCACCGTAAAGACTGCAGGACACCAGTTGAGAGAGTGCAACAAAGCAATGTCACTCACAAACACCAGTCCCTCCTGGACAGCTTGAAAGTTTGGATTAAAACGCAAGACTGCTGAACGAGACACTTGTGCTACTCGGAAATACAAAATTCCCTGATAAAATTGCTAATTCCGTTCCGAGAGCAGTCGGCACAGAGCAGTGACAGCTTACTACTGCTGTGAATTTTGCCCAGTAGCTCAAACAGCAAAACTCCCTGCACCAAAATTCAATATTCCAAAATACTGTTCAAAGCAGTTGGAGACTTTAACATAGTATATATGTAAAAGCTGACACAACGTTCTCCAGAAAATCCTAATTCTGCTGCTGTTTGATTTTGCCTTTAACATCCTTAAAACAGCAGTGTTCTTACACTGTTTCCACAACATTGCTTTTGTGTAATTCTACCTAGATGTTTCTCCTTTTTTCCCTCTTTAGACAACCGTTTAGCAAACATTCTGGAACTTTAACGATGATGACAATACATATCGTTACCAAGGGTCACTATTTACCTCCACCATTAGTTACAACTGCGCTCCCTCGGTTTTCTTGATACTGACTCTCTCTGCGCAGTCTCTGCTCCTTGGTGATCTCTGCCACACGTAAAGGGAGATCTGAGAACTCATCTGTTGGCTTTGGAAAACAAACAGTGAAGTCAGGAAATCCTTTTCTTCAGAAATAACATCTTTAAGCTACTCTCTCTTGTGTTTTTACTTTAATTGTCCTTTTTGCACCTACAAACCACTAATTTAAAGAAAATTCGGCTATAGTGTATTGTTTTAAGAAAATATGTAGTTAAGCTTTCTTTAAAAACCAGTTTGGCTACAGTTTTGCTTGCAGTATCTGCAAGTGCTTGAAAACACCCCAGGATGGAAAGCCCTAGAACCCTCTCAAAAACCAAGCTGGGAGTGCAACCAGACATATGGAGCAACGGAGAATAGCTCACTGAGACACTTTAGGTCTTGGCTACTGCCTTTTCTAGTTACCCCAAGAGGAAAAGAAAATCTCTCTCTGGGAAGAATAGTTGACAGTCTCTTTGCTAAGAGATCCCATTTTCCTGCTTCTAAATAGCAAACAGATTTTAACATTTCAAACAAGGTGCAAAGAAAGGAGACAAAGTTTCTATTTGATTTTTAAAGTTTTCTTTTCATGTTCAGATTTCTTTCATTGACTCAGCATTGTTTATATGATACAGTTATAAGCTTTTTTAAAATGAGGAATGCCATTTTCCTCATCTTTTATTCTCCAGTAAATTAATCTGTCATGCACTGTTTTATACATTTCTGTTATTATTTCAAACTTTGAGTCTGTCCCATATGAAATTATGCTTGTTTTTCTCCAATAAAGCAGGAAATAACTGTGGCTCAAGGCAACCTGCACACTAGCATACACATGTTACCTATGGATTATGCTTCCAGATGTATATGCTTAGTTCTCTATCTGTTCAACACTGCACTCAACAAAAACAAAGCTGCAGCACTTACTTCATTCCCTGACCATCTTTTGTCTCCGCTGTCCACACTATTGAAGCCAGAATCAAGTGCTCCATACGGACGACTGGAATAGAGTTCCTCGTGGCTGTCAAACACACAGTTTTAGTTACTGTAATATAAACACCACCAAAAGCTTCTCAGCTATTACAGAACAAAAGCAGAATAAGCCACCAAGCACAGTTGCAGTGTGTTCACAAGCTCAGCATGTTTGAAAGCCTCACACTGCATTTGCCACATAGAGCAGGAGGCGAGTGCTCACAACTCAACATCCTTGTCAGTCAGCTGTCACCTGCCACTGCCTGGCCTTTTAAGAGCTAATCTGATCCAAAGTATATATTCATACTTTAAACGTTTCCCAAGTAGAAATTATGACAAAGAAAGCTGCAAAGTGGTCTCATATTTCACTGTTTAACAAGTCAAATTTTTATTTTCTACTACTCGTATGTTTTGGTTGAAAAACTGTCCCACAAGCTTTTTCATAAGTAAGCATAAACCCTTGCAATATTACTAAAATCACAGAATATACAACTTCTACACAAAGTACACAGCATGTATTACATAACTGACTTCTGTGTCATAGTCACTTACCTAAGAAACTGTGCAGAAAGATGGACAGTACTTCAAATATTTCATAATGTAATAAATATAGAAATACAGTTTCCATCTACAAGCTTTGTCAATGACATGTCTAGACAAAGGCATTAAACATGTGCCCAGTGCTACAAGACACACAACCAAACAGCCATACAGTTCTTCTCTAAATTTCTGGGATTAAAAACTACGTAATTCAGCAGTAAAGCCATCACAGATGTCAAGTCTGGCAACTGCTGCAGATAGCTACAGTAAAAGAGACAATGGGACTTGTCTGATCCACTGCAGATGGCATTTCACAATGGCTCAACTGTCCTACTGGCACTCGATGCCCCAGGGAGAACTGCAGCAGTAATTACTACATAATACACAAGGAAGAATGAATTTCAGGAAGCTAATTGCTTCACCCCATCCTCACTAAATTGCAGGTCATTTTCTCACTGGTATTGCTCTCAAGTTGTTGCTCCCTCTGAAATCCTGCTTTCAGGAAACACTTATTTTCAAATTATTATTTTTATTATTATTATTAACACAGCACAGTATGTGTGCATGAGACTTTGTAGAAGAGTGACAGACTATTATCCAAGGCTATTTTAATTTTCAGACAGACAAGAAAGAGGAAAGAAGTTCCAGGAGGGATGGTGGGCTACATTAGGCTATACGTGTGTTTTATGCAGATGTACAGCAAAAAACAAGCTCTTGTATCTGCACTGAGTTTTAACTCAGAGGAGTTCCACTTTTATGGCCCTATATTTGAACAGAAAGATCATCTGCATAATAAACCTCTAGAAAGAAAGGAAAAAATAACTCTCTTCTTTTGGGTGGAAGAAAAAAGAATGACCATGAAACCACCCACTGCAGTTGAAGAGTTATTAACTTGAATCACTGACAACAGAACCCTACTTATGCTAACAGTTCATGGAATTTAAATACTGTATTTAAAACATGGGTGGACAAAAAATATCCATCTGCAGTATATTTCCATTTTAAATGAATCAATGTTTTCAGAATCTACTGAGCACCCTGTTGTAGGCTGAACAATCATGGCAAATTGAAGATCTCAAAAATGAGGAAATATTTTGATAGAAATTTTCTTTCAGCCTTCCTTTTCAATTAGAGATTTTGAAAAGCTGTACACCTTTCAGGTTAGCTGAAAGCTCAAAAAAATCACTGTTTCTAGGACTTCTCCGTTTTAACACGAAAGCTGCTTTCCCTCTTCCCAGCTCTCACAACTAAAACCAGCTCTTCAATGCTGCACATTTAACAGGTTTATAATCCTACAGCAGCCATCCTGAAATCAGCTGAGACTTAAGACTTTTATTCCTCCCTGACCAACAAACTACAAGGAGCAAGAATTAGGCATTTGAATAAATGAGAGCATTTGGGGGCAACTACAACTTACGTGGGAAGCTATGTAAGTCTTGAAATCAAAGGATGAGAAGCCAAATGTCTGGTAAGCCCAACAATCAAAGGAAAGACAATACTTGACAACATTTCAAAGGCACAGCTCCAAAGCTACACTAAACCACTTATTTTTTACCTCCTGTAAGAAAGAACAGTTGCCCAAGTCCCAGAAAATCAACTACATGAGTACTTTGTATTTTAAACCTTCTAACTCCAGACTCTGCCCATTTGCCTCAGTGCCAAAAACTGCTACACAGCTTCAACAGTTCTGCCTCCTCCCAATCACATTCATGCCAGCACCAACCTGAGCTGCTCTGAACTTCAGTGCTGCAAATGAGAGCCTGGCTGAGCAGAACAAAACTTGCTGCAGATATATTTCACATAGCTTATGTTTAGACAAGGACTGCAACATACCAGGTTTCACTCTGGTAAGACAATTTGATGTAATTCGGCAAGGCTAAAACAAATAATTAGCTCTGCTAGAACCTCCAACCCACACTTTCCATAATCTTTCACAGTATCTTCTTTTATTGGCAGTATCAACAACCTTGCTATTAAAAATGTTTGATCAAAAGTGAACTGACAGCATGACACAAACTTCCTTAGACTTTAAGAGTCTCTATCACTCAGTTCAGATTCTTAACCTCCATGGCATTACACCCAGTTTATCAGATAAACCAGCAACAAAGTCTGGGTGGACTGACTGACACATTATTCCTATTGGTCACCTCTGAAGATAACAAACATAAAGCTCCTGTGACTTGTCTGGAAATATTAACTATATCAGAGCTGAAGGCTTTTATTTCTTTCATCCCAAGTTTCAGAAGGGTATCATAATTCGGGATCCTCTCTTTCACTGGATCATTCTACCGCTGTCTTCTGACAGGTACTCTGATCCATGGACAGTTCTTCCACAGGTACATGAAGACGGGAGGAATCACCTACAACACTAAATGCCCTAAACAGCATGGTAACAATAAACAGATCTATCCCCAACTCTTATCTCCTCTTGGGTATGGAAACACAGTTAAATGAAAGCCTGTTGAAGCTCATTCCATACTGCTGAATCCGGTAGCAATTCTAGAGAAAGCATCCTCAACCAGTTCTGCTCTTGTTTTCACATTTATAATTTCAAGCTATGATTAAAATACATTAATTCTTCTCATTTCACAAAAGCAATTTATGAGAACTTCCATATTAATATACAGCTACAAAACAATAAATCAGTAAGCACACAGTCCACTGATTTTGTTGGTATTTCTCTTAAAAATAAACTATGTTAGAGCTAAACAGATCATGACATTTTATCATTTAGAGCCTTTTATTTCCAGTAGCAGGTCAGTATCCTCAATATTATGCAGCAACCATCTGCCACAGCTTGTACTGGAAACTGAGTAACCCTCAACATGTTCGCATGTTGAGTTCATCTAGAAAAATAATTTAAGACATTCAGGGCTGATGAGGAATCCCTCTGTCAAGTCCCTCATGCAAGTTATTCCTCATAAATCTGACTCACAATGATTTATTGTGAAGCCCTATCATTTGTGTTTTATTGCTGCTAAGGCAGCAGCACATCCTTTAGCAACTTACTCCTCCACACCTTATTACCACCTTCCACGATGACTGAGGTAATTTTTATACATATTCAGTTTCACACTTCACTGACTCCCTTTCTTCTGTTTCATGTAACAGAAATAAATCTTAACTCCTGCTTTTTGCTAGACATCTTCATTTAGCAGCTGATATGGCTGACTGTTCCAATATTTGTGTTACAATGCCAAGCAGCAGTGCCAAGTGAAAGCTTGCCAGAAATAACAGTTTACTGATGGGGTGGAGATCAGCATTTACACCTGTGGTTTGAGCACAGCAGTCACAAAATTCTGTACAAAAGGTTAAAAATCACAGCAGGGATATATACTCCAGGAAGTCTGTGGAAAATATTAAGGTCTCATAAACTGAACATACATGTTAACAACATGACAGCACACTCTGTGTACTATGAAGATATCAACACTCCCTTTTTACTGTGTGTCAACTCTAACACTGCTTTTCACATGATACTGCCCAGGTCTTCTGAACTGCTCCTCACTTCTTATACACTGGTACCTTGTTAGAATACACCATGACATAACTCAATATTTTCAAAGCCACTTCCATCAATGCACTTAGCAAAGAACAATCCTTGGATCTATTTTTGTCATTAACTCAGACAACTGACAAAATTTTCCTGAATGTCATCAAAACTTGGCTTGTGCAAAACTTACCATGATCCAAATCCCATGGGTCTCCTATCATAATCAGGTAAGTCTGGAGCTATCTTGCATGCTTCTATGTTCAGGTATTTAAATATATGAATTTTTCCTTTTATACATATCTTTAAAAAAATTGAAAAAATTAAATCAGTATAATTTGACAACACATTTTCAAAGTAAACTACAGACATTTAACATGCAGTTGAGAGTGATAAATGAGCATGATTACATCAATCAATGTATCTTTTATTCTAATCTCACTGCATTTTAGAGAAACAGCTATAGTGGAGCATCATGGGATGCCTATGAGAGACAAATGGAAGCTGTCCCCCAAGTACATCTGGTCTGTAGGCAACTCTGTCAGCTGGATGCTGAAATTTCATCATGCAAACAAGACATAAGCATTTACAAGTACTAGAATTTATACCCTTGGCATCAGAACAGATGCATCCCACCCATGCCCAGATTTGAATGGCAGTGGCAGACTGCCAAAGCCAGCTCAAATTTATAGTGGATGAAGCCAGTAACAGCTGCCTCTGCTTTCAAAAGGGAGGCAAAACCCTACTGAAATTGCAGGACTCAGCAAGGGCCACTCTTGACTCAGAAGCAGCAGCTCAGAGTACAACCTGTAATACTCAGGGGCCTGTACATCCATTAAAGATCAAATCAGTCACTAACCATATTGCAGTTTCTAGCTCAAAGGCCAATTTGAGCCCTCTGCTGCAAAGTGAACCAGCAGCACTGAGGCCTCAGTCAAAATTTTGACACCTGAGTGGCACAAAATCTGTCTTGTCTAACAGATCTTCCTCTCTCCTATGCTGAAAGCAGGAATGTTCAGATAACAGTGGAATTCTTTGCAATATCCCACAGGTGAGACTACTAATACAGTAAAGTAAGAAAAGCAAAAGGGATTTTTCAAGCTCTGCTGTATATTTAACACTTTTATACAATAGAATTTATTTAAAGTTCTCTTGTTCTTACATAAAGTTTGTAATATAATCCTTCAGTTTTTAACTTTGTTCTGCCCTTTTTAACTGAACTAGTAATCTGATTTCTTAGCCTCAATTTACCTGTGCAGGGGGGGACTGGAGAGGGTTGTTCTCTAACATGATGGACTGAAGATGTCTGAGGTTCCTATAACAAACTGGTATTGTTGTTATTTTATTGCAGGAGAAATCTAATCGAATCAATGGCAACTCAGCAAGCTCTGGAAACAGAAAACAAACATCCAGTTCAGCAGATTAAAAGAGTGTAAGAAAAAGCAAGAATATAAAAATAGGTGTTTCAGATAACAATTAAGTATGCTGCTTCGAGCTCTCAGGGGAAGAAAAGGGGACTGAAAAATAAAGAAGTGCTTGAAGTTTCTGCTGTTATAACTGACAGCCTTTATCTCACCTTCAGGTAAACGCACCAAATTATTTCGTCTGACATTTAGGTCCCTCAAGGATTCCAAATGGCCAATCTGTGGAGGTATTGTCTGTATTTCGTTACAACTCACATCCTGCAAAGCAAGAGCAAAGAATGAGTTACCACTGCCTGGTAAGGCTCTGTTAACTGAAATGTGCAGCTCTTTGTTTAGGGACTGAACACCTCAGATCCTTATATTCATCAGTTCTCACTGCTGATGTGAAGCATTGTTCTCACTTTAAATACATGGCAAAAGAAAAGCTTTAAAAGATTAAGCATTCAGATGCAGAAATTTATTTCAAGTTATCTCATTGAGTTATTCCACAGTATTTCAGACAGCACAACTTGCTATATAGAAGTTTTTTGCCAGAAACAAATGTACCAAGAGCTCTAATTCCACCTGTCCCTCCTTTCTAAAATAGGGAAGACACTTTAATTGACATGGATCATTTGCTCTCCAGTGCATCTTTCCCTTACATAATTTAAAAAAAAAAATCTCAGAGTATTTCAAACTCTTTTCTAACACCTCTGTACAAAATCAAAACATAGTTGGAGTGCTGTGGCAGACAAAAATCTTCCTTAGGCTAAGAGCAGATTTAAATAACTTGCCATTGCATACAAGTGGTTGGTTTACAATCATAAAGTTCTCAGCAGGGTGAGAAACAGGATGTTGATCTTGCACTTGCCCAGACAGCATCCTAATTACTGCAGGATTTTGATCAGTTTAAAAAATTGTTATTTCTTCTGAAGGATCTGTGAACTTAATAAACATATAAATTAAAAAGTAAAGACCGAATAGTAATAGCTAAAAATCAAGTGTATACTCACGAGTTCTGTCAGCTGTCTGAGCTGTCCAATTTCTTCAGGTATTGAAACCAATTTATTATTACTTGCTATCAAAACTTTTAGTGGTAGACTACAGAGGTGTACTGGCAATGTTGAAAGCTGGTTTCGACTTTTGACAGAGAGAAAACAAAATAACCAGAACACTAATGAGAAATCTTAATGCAATGAAAGACACATACAAAAAGCACACTCCATTTAGGTGATCAAATCAGGTTTTATATAATTACTGCAAAAGTAGTTCCATGAGGCTGTTCTTCACTACTTGCTTTATCTAGTTATGTGTGAACAAACTCTGAATATCAAGTACCAAGCCTGATCAGACGCTTTTGAACTCAGTGAGGGGGACTGTGACATTTTTGTGCCCTTTCAGGTGGTTCTGGTAACTGGCCATGCTCTGTCACAAAGGAGTTTGAGCAGAGTGCAAAAGCCTTTCTCATAAGGAGCACTGCAGGTCAGCACACACAAAATGCCAGAGAAAGTCATTAGATACTGAATATTTAAAGTATATTTCTAATTAAGTAAGGACAATGGGACTGCACCCACTAGAGATATAGCATTAGGAAAGCTATACATGATTCATATCCTATTTGTACAATTTTCATATCAATTAAAAAAAAGAAAATAAAGAAATATACTTCTGCCAATTTAGTGTGCTTATAACACCAGAAGGGAATAGCCTGAGACCTTTTTTTTTTATAAATATCTCTGCCAATTCCTGACAAGAAACTTTCCACATCTCTTAAAAGACACTCTACAAATGCAAGGTGCTGTACACAGTCGAATTTCACGATGGGCCAAGTTGCAGCAATTAGCTTTTAATGCTGGCAGTGAAGTGCTAATGCTTGAGAAAGATCTTTCAAAGCCACCAGTACAGTGAAGGTAAAGGGAAATTGCATGTCTTATTCATCTGCTGTGAGCTGAACTGCAAAGACCATGCTAAAGCTCTACCATCTCTTTTCAGACTGCACGTCTGTACTTCACTGGAAAACTACTGGATTTATTTATTCCTTTAAACTGGAATTAGACTTGTTCATACTCCACTTCTAAAAGCTGCTGCTTAATCCTCATGTTCCCTGATCCACCTAAGTGGGTTAAGAATGGTCCAGGTTGCTTTGATTCAATGACACACAACACAACAACGTGATGATTACACACCAAGTTGGCACTACTTACAGATGCACTAAAATTTACAAACCCAGACTACTCATACTAAAGCAAAATTTGTAAGACAACTGTTACCTGATATTTAGAAATGTTAAAGACTGTAAGTTCAAAACAGCCTCTGGGATGTATCGAATGCAGTTCTGGTACAAATTAAGACTCTCGAGGGAGACAAAGTGACACGCTTCTGCTGGAAGCTCCGACAGTCTGTTCCGTGACAGATCTGAAGGGAGGGAAAAAAAGAGAGATTCAGTAAAGATACCTTAAAACTTCACCAATTCCTTGCTTGGCAAGAGACAGAAGTTAAACCAAATCTCCTACGACATGTTTGTATTTGAAGAATCAAAACATTTCCTTAGACAGTTCCAATCATCAGCCTACAGCTATAAAACATCCATCAGCAGTACTGTCCTTCAAAAGCTGTGATAAATAATGCACTTGCAAAGGGTTCTTTTTTCTTTAAAGGTTAAGGAAAGCTGCTGATTATAAATGCCAAAGGGCTGTTCTCGCAGACACACACACAGAGCTCTCACTTCCTAACACACCCAGCTCCAAGTTCTGACAGGAACAATGCTCCTGTCTCAAGCACCTTCTGTCAGCAGGGAGTTCCCACAGAGAACTGTTTGCTAAGCTGATGCTTCACCTCAGTATTTTTAAGGGGGGGCAGACATTCATTGCAAAAACCCATCTAACCTGAATCAGTGTTATGAATGATTAAAAAAAAAAATCCATATTTAATTGCTATTTTATTTGTTTTGAACTTCTCATCAGCATAAGAGGACAAAAGCTACCACGCCAAAATACATACAATAAACTAATTTCTGTATCTTTATTCCATGAAGGAACCATACAATACAGATTACTTTTTAAATACTGCCAATGCAGATATGTCTTGTGTCTCTTGACATTATTTTTATGGGGTTTTTTTGTAAAGGGAAGCTTTTCCAAAGTAAAAAAGCCCTCCTTGGAGAAATTGTTCCATTGTACACTGCTCTAGGTTGTCCAAGGAGAACACTCCGAGTGCAGCTTGAACTGACTCTAGGCCTACCTTGATGCTTAGAACAGACCATGAGCTACTACTGATAAATAAGCAGTAATTAAAAATCTCAGCAGGAAGAATCACTATGAAAAACTCTGTAGATAAAACCCATGAGCTTTAGTACAAAAGTGGGAAGGAACTTCATTACCCAACCTCCAGGTATGACTGAAGCTCACTACAGCAGGGGCTATGATGGACATATGTTGCAGGGTGCACTAATCCATCACTACAAAAAGGGAATGAAACTCATTGTCTGTTCAGCAATGACAATTAAAAAAAGAATAAAATTAAAAAATAAATAATAGAAATTAAAAAAAAACAAACAAAACCAAAACAAAGAAACAAAAAACTCCCCAAAACCCCCCGAACCACACCAAGTACTTCTTTGCAGCTGGTATCAGGCTCAAACATGATCTCAGCTTGAACTCATCTGAATGTGATTTTGAAAAAAACAAGACTTTTAAATGAACGTTTCCGACAGCTCTAATAGTGGGAGTTAAAACTAAAAAATAATACAAGTTGTCAGCAGTAAGTCTGCATTGCATATCTAGAATGGTTTTATTGTTTTATGACAGAAAACAGTTCGAGATTTTTGCCTCCCTTTTCTATTTTTTCTGTGAAAAAGACCTTTTATCCTTGTTTTTCTTTTCTTCTAAGAGTCAAGAAAAACTTGCACTTACATAGATTGCTAAAGGCAGGCTCTATAAACATCCTGATCTTACCATATGCTAATTCAGACAAAACATCAGATAAATGCATCGCTGCAAAGAAGGATCACTGTGATGGATCCTGCTACTGCCAAACCAGAGTTTTCCTACCTCTACTGCTTGTCCCAGGCCCTTTGCATTGCCGGAGTGTGTGGGAGAACCTTACCAGAATTAAATACAGCAGTTTTTCTGATCACCTCACCACACAGCCCTATAAACCCTATGCCAGCACCAGGGAGAAATGTCAGTGCAGGTAGCAGAATCCCTGTTCTGGTGCCAGGGATTATTTTTGGTGATTTAAAGCACTCACTGAACTCCAGCCTAAGTGGAAGCAGCAAATGAGTCGGACTGATCAAACCTCCTTAAGGATCTGCAGATAGTGAAGGAGTCAATAAAGTAATTGTGTGTGTCCTACAGGGACACAGCACACACTTCCAAGGGAATTGTACTGGAATTGTACAGGCCAGTGGTCACAGCACCAAGCCTGCCAGAGTTCAAGAAGTGTTTGGATGACACTTTCAGGCACATGGTGTGACTCTCGGGGATGGTTCTGTACAGGGCTAAGAGTTGGACTCGATGATCCTTGTGGGTCCCTCAAACTCAGCATATTCTGTGATTCTGCAAATTTATGCAATGGACACTTATTTTGCACAACCATCTCCGATAATACCCTTGTCTGTCCTAGGATTTCTTCTGCTTTACTTCCACAGTTTAATTCTCATTAATGATTTAGTGAAAATGACAGCAAACTCCAACCTTCCTCTCCTCCAGGTCGTATCACTGCAGGAGATTTAAAGCAGAGTAACAGTGCTAAAATTGTGCAACAATGGGGTGTCCGAAATTGTGACATTCCTAATGGGATCTCTCCATGTGCCAACGTTGTTGTAAATGTAACAGGAGAAGAGAGATTTTTCAAACAAACACACTTCTCCTCAACGTAAGCTATGTATCCAGAAAAGTTTCTAGTAAGTGTTTGCAGTCACTGGAATTATCTGTGATCCACACAACTTGCCATGAGGTTCCACAGTAAAATTGTATGTTACTGTCTAAGAAAGGGAGAAGGATGCAAATTATTTCAGAGACAACAACAAGCAAGAGTAATTTAGAAAAAATACTTGGCTTCCTCATTGACTAGATGCTTAAGTGCCTATTTAAAGAATTATTACAACACTGATTTACATATAAGGTGTAAATGTTTTTCTTAGGGACTCTGGAAGATGGAAGTGAATTCCACCTCTTCTCTCACAACATACTAACATCCTTCAGCTCACAGCTTTATCTCTCCTTCACACAGCTGTGCTGGCAAAGGCAGCTTGAATACAACCCCTTTTAACAGAGAAATAGGCTTCCCAAGTAGTGAGTCCTATTTTCTGGCAGAAGAGCGGCAAATAAAAAGTTTCTTTCAACTGGTTTGGAAAGGTTTACCCTCAAACATGAGAATTCTCAATTGCTTTTTGTTTCACTTTATATTACCAAAGAACATTTAAGAACTACTTTTTACATATTGTGCAGACCACAAGGCTTGAACTAGTCAAGAACTTCACATATTCTGAGCTATGATTTAGTATTTCTGAAGAAATAACTCCCTGCAAAAATAACATTAGGTATGAAGAAATGAAAATATACTTTTTAAACAACAAATGAGCTCAGTGTGTGATAGAAAAGAGACACCAGAGCTGGTTAGCAGCAATGACTAACTTTTTCCAGACTTCTCTCAATCTACAGTGATTTCTAAAACTTGGCATTTCTATTCAGCAGTAGACATTCAGTGGAAAACAGATTAAATCAGAGCTGAATTTTGATGCTGCAGTATAGTCTCTTACATAATTAAAAATGGGTCTAACCAGTTACAGGTTTGATTAATAACTTTGCAGCATTTTTACTCATGATGGCCATGAGAATGCTGTCTTACACACAGCATCCATGATTCCATGTGTCCAAACAGGGAGCCAGGAGGGAGGGTCTGCCAGGGTCACAAAAACAGGCAAGCACTAGGGAATAAAAAAACCCCAAACAACTAAGCTAAAACAAGAGTACCTGGAGAATTACACAGAAGCAAGATATGATAAAATACAGTGTCAGTTCTGAATCTGTAAATGAAGACCTGCTTTTTTCTGCAATCCCCTCTCTGTCCCATTGCAAACCTCCTACAAGTATTTCAATTTCCCAAAGTCCACAATGCAGCATCCCTAAGATTCAGGGACATTTTTTTATTTTGGTCCAGTTTCTCTGGAATCCTCTTCCATGCCAGAAAGTGGACCTTCGATGGGACCAGAAATGAGGCAGAGAGTACAACAGTCACTGCATGAAAGAATTCAAAATCCTCTTTCCCACCTTCTTCCTAAAAACACCTAAATGAAAGGCACAGCTCTAACAAAACCAGAAGAGAAGCAAAAGCATCCCAGTGATTGGTTATATATTCACATATATGTTGCCCTGCAGTACAGCACTAGCTGGTGATTTTCCAAAAGAGAAAGTGTGAGGTAAAGGAAAAAACTAAGGTATTTTATTTAAAATATCCTGTCAATGGAGACTTGTTCTAGTGATATTCTTCTGCTATTGTATACATAACATGACTTCAACAACCAGAAAATAAAAAGGAGTTACAGTACAAATTATTGTGTAAACTAAAATTTCTGCAAATATTTTTATTTCTCAGAGAAAATAATGAATGTTGTAGTGAGATATTATTTTTCATATTTTTTAACAAGCAAGAAATAATCAGTGTGATGCAGATTATTTCCTTTAACGTGTATGTGCACACCCTTTCTGCTTCTCATACCTTAAACTGCAAAAAACAAATGACTAATTCCCCCCAAAAGCACAAATGCTGAATTTCACTATGAATAAGTACATGAGTGAAATACAGCTGTTATAATTTGACTTGTGTTCACATTTCATGGGTCAAAATCACTGTTACCAGAAATCTGCTTTAAAGAAAGGCTCTCCTACTTTGCTAAAAATGGATGTGTTTCCTTGAAGGCAAGATCATGTGGAATTTTGGCAATGGCGAAGCATTCTTTGGAACTAAGGTCTTTGAGAAAGATAAAAAAGCCAACAGTACAGATACAAAATGAAATCTCAGAGCAGAGTTAGATCACTGACCTTTTCCATTTTAACTGGGATTCTGTTCAGAAAGCCAGTAAATCCAATGTCAAATGAGACTAGAGAATACACCATGCTTAAAACTGCATCACTTGGCATTAAATGGAAACTCTTCCTGTTCAAAAAATGTTCCTCTAACATTAGACATTAGCAGGGCTGTGTTCACACATTTTTAACTTCAGCTGTAACACAAATTTTGCCCCCAAAGGAAAATCAGTGATGCATAAAGATGCACTGTTCAAGGCATGGGGTACTTTAACCCACTACATACATGATAAAGAGAGGGAGCTGCAGCTCAACTGTTGCTGGCACTCAAACCAGCTGGGGGGTGGTGAGTTCCAATTCATCACGAGATGCTAATGTGATCAGTCC